GGGAAGGGGTGGGTGAAGCGGCAGGGGAAGTATGCTCCAGGCCACCCTTCTGCTCTCACCTGCCCCCAGCACTACATCCACTCTTTCATCCAGCAGGGAGCTTCCCCTCCTTCCTGCACCTGCTGGGTGCCTCTCTCAGGCTGTTTCCTCTCACCTCATAAGGCCCAGCTCCAGGGGTGCCACCACAGAGACCCTCAGAGGTTATGGCCAATCCTGGGGGCTGTGCCCTCCATCACGCTCACGGTTCTGGGGTCTTGCTTCTTGACCTTTCAGCTCACCTCCCTCCCTCCGACTCCTCTAGAAGGCTTCTTGGACCCCAAACTGGACATGACTCCATAGTGTGTTCCCAGGCTACTGGTACTTTTCCATCAAACAGTTCTCATTATACTGCGTTGGGATCTGTCCTTCTCAAGATGCAAAATGTCCCTGAAAGAGGTCACAGGCAGGACCCCTCTTTCCCACCAGTGTTTTACATGTAGCAGGGGCACACTGGACATTTGTCAAATATAACTGCTATCAAATGTATGTGTGCTCATCCCACCCACTAGGCTGGGACCCCTTTGAAAGAAGGGCTTCTGCCAAACTTATGGAAGGAGTGAAAAAATGCCATTTCACAGTCAGGGCAATGGAGTCAATCACATATCGAAAGCTCCCATTCTAAGGCTGTGAACTCGTAGTGACGAGGGGAATGAATGAATTACTAATTGTGGAATATGAGTCAGTAAGTGGTTTGCCACAATTCTCTAAGCCCAAATGTAAGACTAATTAAAAGATAACTGAAGATAATTCCAGGGTTTAATTGACACTAGACAGAACTACTGACTTCTCCCAGAAGCCTACTTCTCCCTTCTTCTACCCTACCTAGTACAGGGCACCACTGCTCAACCAGTGGCTCAAGCCAAAAGTCTTGCTTCAGCCTTGAAGTCTCCATTTGTATAGCATCAGCATCCCTATTGGCTTTGCTCAAAATACACGTTTGGAAGTAAATCTCTGGCATTTTCCATCGCCACAGGAACCGCCCTGGTCTGGCCTCCACCACCATTAAGCCTCACCTGGACTACTGCATCTTCCCAGAAGTCTCCCCATCCCCTCTCCCTCTCCTGCAAACCATTTCCATGCAGCAGCTGGAGACAGCTTTAAAATCTGGTATATGTGACTGTGTTGCACCCTTTTCTAGAAATCCTAGAGCATGGAGATAAAATCTGAAACTGCAGGTCTTCCAAGATTTGCCTGCTGCTGAGTATCACCTCACCCCAGGTGTAACCTTCTCTGCACCCAGCCACACTGCTCCCCCCCAGCCTCTCCTACCTCGGAGTCTTTGAGGTTGGGCTCTCTCTGCCTGGATGTCCTTCCCTGTGTCTTCACCCCCATTGCTCCTTCTGGCTCTCCAGGAGCCAGTCCAGATGACCCCCTCTCTTCAGAGAGTCCGTGTCTGCCCTCCCCTTCTTAAGTTGCTCCATCTCTGCAGTCACTGCTACTGAAATGATCTGGTTTACTCAGATGTGTTTATTATTGGCTTCCTACATCAGGAATACCGGCTCTCTGCATATTCTAAAGTTATCATTTCTTGGATTTGTTTATATTCTGTTTTCCTCCCCAACTTGAATGTAAACTCTAGGAAGGCAGGACCTCCTCTGACTCATAGCTCTATCCCACTAGCTCTTAACAAGGTGCCAGACACATAGTAGATGCTTGGTAAATATCTGCTGAATGAATAACCAACCACATGCATGAATAAATGATGAATGAACTCCAAATGTGTCCATGGGGTGAAATCAGCTTGGGGAGAAAAGCAAACATGGTATTAATCACCATTAACAGGAATACAGACTATAACAGGGAGAATCCAATCTACATGGATTGGCACACACTTGGAAGACTGTCCTTGGTGCAGGTTGCTGCAGTGCCACAGGACCCACGGTGTGGGCAGGAAATGAACCATGTTGGCATGTGCAGAGAAAACACAGAAAATCAGAGACACTCAGCTTGTAGAAACAAGAATTCCCAGGAAGAATATTGTTGTCATCTTTTCATATCTAAAGAGCTATTGAGAGAAAAAGAAGATAAATTTGGTCTGGAGCCCTAAGGGCAGAATCCAGATCAATGGGTATTAGCTTGATAGGAAAAGATTCAGTTCAGGAAGAAAATGGACCCATGACAATCAGGTCTCATAGCAAAGGAAGCAGACACCTGAGGAAAGTGGCGAGCTCCCCATGTAAGACAGTTTCCAGAGAGGTCACTACTTGGCAAGGACGTGGAGGGAGGGATTGGAACAGATGAAAGATCCCTTTCAAACTTGAGATGTCGGGGTTTCCATGATATCTACGGGGATAGAGACAAGAAAAACTTCTCGGTAACAAGAGTTTTATGTCTTGCTTATCTTGCCACAGATGGCAGAAAACATGACCAAAATCAGGTCTACAAATTAAGCCATAGAAACACTAGCTGAGAGGTGTCTTGGGGGCCTGTAGCCTTCTGGAAAGATGCTGGACAGCTCCCTGGATTTGAGATCACCTTCCTATGGGTGCTCACTTAGGACACAGGACAAACAGAGAAATATTTTGACTATTCAAAAAGATGCCTCAATTTCTAGAAGATAGTCAAGCAACACCATCCCAAACTGGATAGGGTGGCTTGGGTTTGCTTGCTTACATCATGTACTAACCATAGTCTCTCAAGCAAAGAAATTAACCCCTCCAAACCTGTTCATTTGTAAACAGGAATTCATTTAAAAACAGGGGAGGGAGGAAGAGTGAAACAAGAATAGCTCGAGTTCGATAATTACTGCAACTCAGTGATAGACACACAGACAGATATTCACTAAACCATTCTCTTTTTATGCATTTGAAAATTTGCATAATAAAAAGTAAGGAAAGGGGGAGTTTAAAATAGTACCTACCTCATGTCATCATGGTAGGCCTTAAAGGAATCATTGTTGTTATTACAAGAAATCTTTACAAATCCTCATTATTAGCAGGAATGTTTCCATACCCCACTGCCATCCCAACAGCCCAGAGAAATGCAAAGTAATCATCTCCCTTTGGCAGATGAGGAAACTGAAGCGCACACCAATTAGACAAGTCTGTAGCTGGCACCGGCTGACATGCAATCCGAAACCAGAGTTCCCTGACTCCACCATCCCAGCTGCTTTTATTTCGAGAATAGCTCATTGTGTTCTACTTGGTTGATATCTACACGATTATGATACCATTTATTCATCTAAGTCAGTCGCTTCCTAGCACTTCTCTCAGTAATAGAACCCTTTTTTCAAAAGCAGCCTTTACTCAGAACTCCAGTAAGCCAAACTGATAAAAATCATACAGTTCTGGCTGAAATGAACATCAGGCCCAACAACTAGGTCACTTGACTCCAGGGTGGTCCCCAAAGCACTCTAGGGTCTACAAGCTTAGTTTGAAAACTCCGGGCAGAAGCCAGTAAGGATACCAAGAACAAAACCCTCAAACCCTGAGGGTGACACTTAAGGACAGCCTCATTTGGATAATGCATCTTTCAGTTTCCTGTCTCCCATCACATTTGATCCTCATTATCAACTCTGAGGTGGACAGGCAGGGCAGATCATCCTCAATTTGCAGATGAGGAAATCAAGGCCAAATGGAGTTAAGCAAGCGGCCAAAGGTGTTCACTTTTCAGCCAAGTGCAGACTGGAAGTAGAGTCTGTCTCCATTAACTCAGTGTGACCTGGCAGAGAGGTGCCATCGACTGGAAATGGCCACTGACCCTTAGTCTACAAAGTGGACAAGCCGCTCCTCGGTCACTCAGTGCCCGGCACATAGACCCCAAAGGCGTCCTGCCAAGGCCCTGTCCAGAGCAGATGGCAGTGGGCAGGGGACAGAGGCTGGTGCCACGGGGGTCGCGCAGCAGGAATCTGGCACTAGCACAGCCATTCCCATCCCGATCTTCCCCGCTGAGCACAGGGCAGGGGAGCCAGTCACAGCCAAAGAGCCTTCCAACATCATCTGCAGCAAGTGCACAGATGACGGGACAGCTAGCGGCACAGACCTGAGCAGCAGTGCCACGCTGCCTTTCTTCTTAGCTCTTGTGCAGACATCCCTGAAACCAGATGCAATTCATAATTGCTTGAATGGTTCCCCCACTCCAGAGCATCTCTGAACTGAGCGGGAGCATGTGTTGGAACAGGCAACACTTAATTATCACTTAGTCTTTAATTAGCACTTAATTATTAACACTTAATCCATCTGTAAAATGGGGACACTAATACCTGCCTCACAGGGGCTCTGGGAGGATTAATTAATGTTTGCAGCCCACTTTGAAGATGCAAAACATTGAACAAGTGCTCAACAGTGGCATTAATAACCACGGCGGATTGACTTGCTTTTTCCTAACGAGCTCCCTTCTCCCTCTCTGCTCCATCCTCTCCTTGTGAATAACCACCCCCAGCAATATCTGCCTGACTTTGCCCTGGTGGAGAAAGATTTAGCTCTGTGTTTCCCAGACACAGGATTTCCCATCCAGGAAACGGGCTATTTACAGCCATCTTCCCGCACTTTAATTTTCTATTATGTCCTCTGAATATGTCAATGCCTTCCCAGTAAATATTTTGATGTGTGCTCTTGCAGCGGCTTCTGTGGAGGCTGAATGGGACAGCTGCTCCCTGTATTAGGGAATTCCAGATGTGGTTTAAACCACCAGACTCATCTGTCAACGCCTAGCCTTGAGGGTGGTTGGGGGAAGGATCTTCTTGTTGCCTCAGTGTTGGGTGGGCTTCAAGGTGTATATCTGTTTTGCCTATGTCTTTAGGATAAGAAATGCCCCCTTTATGGGGGCAGCAGAATACAGTTCCCCAGGCAACTTTAGGACTCCTGTCAACTCTACCAAGAAGACTGGACAAAGTGGGGTATGGAGGAAAGTATGCAGACTTTAGGATTTCACCAGACTGAACAACAGAGCAGACCGTTCTCCCAGGCCAGACCTGGTCCCCTCCCTCCTCCCGTGATGCCACCCAGGAGGGGGATACTCACTCTTCCTGGAAGCTGAGCCTGTTGTCTCCTGGAGTCCCGGGCATGGGAGCGCGGAAGGGCTCCCTGGAGAGCCTGGGCGGCAAGGCCTCGGGCAGACCCTGCACTCTCTTCCAGATTTCATGGCAAGTCTTGTCGAGGCTGTCTTGGGGTGTGTCCTGGTGGATCCAGATGTATCTGGGGAACGGGCCCAGGGCGGAGGAGCGCTTGGCCACGAGGGCTGCGGACGAAGGGAGCCCGTTCCCACTAGCCATCCTCCTCCTCTCTTTCCGGAAGCCCCTTTGTCCACCCAGGGCTCGAACACAGGGGGACCATCCACCGCCACCCCTCATTCACCAGAAAGGGAGAGGAAGATGGGGCAGAAACAGTTCAGTTCTGTCTGGCTGCTCCCCCAAGGTCACTGTGTTCAGAGGTCTTCGATTAGTGTGTGAGTGGTGGATGGAGGACAGCTTTCTTTTGGGGAGGGAGAGCTTATTTTGACTTGTTTTTATTTGCTCTTTCCTGACTTTGGCCCCCCTCCCCCTCTCCCTTAGAAGAAAATATTTAAAAGTCAACAAAAACCAGTAGCTTAGTAACCGTGGAATCCCCCTGAGCTCAGGAACCAGGCACCTAGGCGGGCAGAATGACATCTGGGAACTGCTGGCGGGGGAGGGCTGGCTCTCCCCACAGTTCCTGGCACTCCCCGCTTTCTAGAAGCCCTCGACACCTTGCAGCGCCTGGGCTCAGCCCATTCCCCGCGCTGAAACTGGCTGAGGACTGGGTAAGGCCTGGCACTATGCTAGGCACCGCAGGGGCAGGAGCTCGCCATTAGATTCTCACTCGGGCCTTCCCAAGGACCCCGCGCAACCCGAGGGCCAACGGCCCTGCGCCCCCAGCTGGCCGCACCCCGCTGGGCTCGCACACTGTCGGCTCTCCAGCGCCGCTCTGTGCCCAGGGCAGAGGGAGTCGGCGCCGCCAGCGCCAGGAGCCCTGCGCCGTGCCCACACCGGCCAGTCCCCCTCGGCTGGCAGGGCAGTGCAGTCAGCGGGAGAAGGGTCCAGGTGCCTCCAAAGGGCGCTGTCTCCGCGCCGGGCTGGGCAGCTTGGGTGGACCTGTGTGCCGGCGACTCCCACACCCTCTCATCCAGCGCAGGAATTCTTCTGTGGGTTTCAAACGCAACGGCTCCCTGCGCGGGCGCCCAGGTTCGGTGCCCAAAGACCTCGGTGGGGTGGGGGTGGGGCGTGGGGAGGGGGGTTGGGGCGAGGGGCTTTCCTGATTAGAGGTCAAGGGCACCACCTCTCCCCTGCCTCACCTCTCTCTCACCTCCCAGGGGCACAAATCTGGCCCCTGCTGATGACCTGATCTTCCCCAACCGCTCCTGTGTGGGGCGCTTACCGGGTGCCAACCGCTGGGCTGTGTTGTCCTAGTCAATCCTAACAAGCTCAAGCTCGTGAAGTTACTACCGTTATTTATTGTCGTTCTATCTTTGAGGAAACAGGTGTATGTCCAAAGCCCGCTAGGAAAGGAAGAGCTGGGATTCAAACCCAGGCTCCCCCCTCCCCACAGCCTGACCTGGTAGTTCTGGACCAGGGGTGGGGAGAACAGGACCTGGGAAAGGGAGACCCAGGGTGGAGGATGGGGGAGTGGGGGAGGGGGTAAAGGGTGTGGCAGAGGGAACAGCAGCTGCTGGTTGGTGGGGGCGGGTCATGGTGCAGAGAGAAGGGCTAGGTCAGCTGTTTGCTGCTCAGGGGTCCTCCCCTCTGGCGGCAGGGCCCAGTGGCTTCAACAGTGTTCTCTCAGGACAGGAGGGACAGGAAGGTGGGAAAGAAGAATGGAGAAAAAGAGATGAAAAAGCAGCCTGTAGATACAGGGCTGGCTTGAATCCTACCTCTGCCACTTCCTAGCCAGGTGCCCCTAACACACACATTCTTTCATCTCTTCCCCAGAAGAGCGCTTCGCTGTGCAGGGTGAGTGGCTGGGCGGGAGGAGGCAAGGAGGTGACCCACACTGGCGGCCCTGCTCTCATGGAGTGTCTGCAGTCTCCTGGAGAGACACAGATCACTGACTAGCAAGCCAAGAAAATGTGCAGTAATTACAGATGAAATTAAGGTTCCTTTGGAAATTCACCAAAGAAGCAAGCACCTGAGATGGCCCCAGGTAGGCCTCTTTGAGGAGGCCAGGCATTGGACATGAAAGAGTAGCATGAAAAGGAGTGCTTTTCTGTAGGACGGTGTTATGAGTTATTGTGAGGATCAAATTCCTGGCACATAGTAGGCACTCAATCAAAATGTGTTGGATGAATTAATGACACACTGTATGTAAGAGCCCAGGACACAGACTTACTCTTTACAGGGGGCTGAGTGCCTGGAAATGTTGACTCTAAATTTTGAAATCTGAGCTTATCATTCCCCTTTGATTTTCATTATAAAATTGAAGATGGGTTCCTTTGGGGAAAATTCTGAGGACCTAGACTGAATAAAATTATAGTTAAGAATGTAGAAAACCTTTTAAGATAGTATATTTAAAGAAAAGTGATCATTTCTGATGAAATATTAATAGTTCTGAAAATGTCACTTAGTGTTTGTGTGCTTGGCATTTGGTTGGCTAACACCTATGCTTGGAGCAGAAGGCAGATGACCCTGCCCAGGCCACAGGGTTCGGGAAAGTCAGCCAGTTCACTCACTCCTTCCCTTTTCTGGCTCCTTCAGCAGAAAATGGGACTATATGCTAAATTAGGAAGGATTACAAACTAAACAGACAAAACCAACCAACCAACAAAGAAAAGCCAGTAGGAGTAGGAAAGAAAGACAGAGGCATGTTTCTCAAGACTCAGCAAAAGTTTCTAGAAGATTCTATCAAAAAACATAAGTGGTATGCTTGCTTAGAAATAGTACCAAGTTACCTTCAATATGATAGCCACTACCCACATGTGGCTATTTAAATATAAATTAAATTAAAATGTCTGTGATCTAATTACCTTTGCCACATTTCAAGGGCTCGGCAGCACTTATTTTATACATGCAGAGGCCCTAGAACAGCACCTGGCACATGAGAGACATAAAAGTGCAGTGTATTAGTTCCCTTTGATTACATTGAAATGCCACTGGAACTTCTAAATAACCGCCTATATGCTATGGGGGGGGGGCCCTTCTGCCGCACTGGGAAACTGTATGATGGAGAAATGGATTCAAATCATCAACTAAGCCTTTCTAGGCTTTATTCATTTCTAAGCGCCCTACATGGACCACGTGGTCCCAGGTTTAGGACTAGGAGATGAGTAAGACCTGTGGTTTAGGCACTCGCACAGGCTAGCGGAGTGGGTAGAACATTCCATAAGTACCTGAAACATAGCAGATGTGGGGGAAACCCAGCTTATTGCAGCCTCCTTCCAATATGTGGTTAGTTCCTCCAACACATGCACACACACACACACATACACACTTTATTTCATCCTCAGCACCTTGCTTGAATGGTGCTACATGTACCTATATATAAAGATAGTCTTGGTTCCTACCTTTTTTAGAGCTTGAATAAAGCGTTCCATGCCCATGGACACCATGTTATCTCTAACTGATTTTTAGTTTGAACCATTCTTAAGTTACCTCTACTACCCCTGTTGCCCAGGACAAATTGTTTAACCTCTTTATGCCACCGTTTGCTCATCTGTGAAACAGGGATAATAAAAGACTGACCTCATATCGCTGTTTTGTGACAGTTGAGATGATCTGTGTGTTTGGCTTACACAGTCTGGAATGTGCTCACCCATTGAATGTTAGCTCTTGTTATTTGGGATTCTGGGGGTCTGGCATTTTCTAGTTGGAAGCAGGAAAATTCTAAGAGTAGGCAGTTCTTCCCACCTAGTCTCTAGCCAAAGCCTCCATGCCCCTGGCTTCTGAAACTCACACAAACACAGGGAGACTGGAAACTCAGAAAAGCAGACTCAGCTCCCCTCACATTTCCAGTCCCTAAGCCAGTTTACTTTTGGAGACTCAGTAGTCTTCACTTAACATATCAGAAACACACCCACCTCACATCACAAATCATACTTGGGACTGTTAAAAAAAAAAAAAAAGTTTTTACCATTTTGCTTTTGAAAGTTTTTGGCCCTGAGTAATTTATTTAATTTTCAATTGGCTTTGATTTCTCACCAATCTCAATGCCTACTGGGGAAATCTTGCAGTGAGAAAACTCCAACCTATGAATTGTTATCAAATGTAATGAAAAATTTATGACCACTAAATTCAACAGTTAATGAAGTTGACATAATGTTACATTTGGCATTTAATTAAATATTTACTGATTTCCATGTTGCTTTTCCTCTTTGAATTGTGGAGCTGATTAAAAAAAAAGTGGTTTCAGGCCTCAAACTTTTTGGTAAGCTGTTTAAAAAAAAAACATGATAGGGAACCCTATTCTCATGCTGATAGTAACTGGTAGGGATGAGCTGTTCAGAGGTGGGTTCAGCATAAAGGATACCAAACATCTTTCATAGGGACAAACCATCACTGCAGGAAGAAAGGGGTAGATCTTTGTCATGGAAATGGGACAACTGAATCTGGTTCCAGAGCAACCAGCCATTTCACAGACTTTGAAAAGGACACTGGTATGTTCTAGAAGCAAAAATATGACTCTGGGATGTCCTTTCGGGGCAATACCATCAGCAACCCCTGTCACGCATTCATTCCCCAGGGGGATTACTGCCTCCATTCCTTGCCACATGTGAGAAAATTCAAGTTTGGATGTGTCTCTGAACACACTAAATTTGAATCACTGACTGCTCTGCCTATTAGGGTAATTCTGTCTGTGCCTAACTTCTCCGGCATTTCATGATTTGCAAAGTGGGAAAAGCAATGTTTCAGAGCGGAAAGATTCAAATAGCAGAGAGCATGTTTGAGGTTCTCAGCACACAGTGTCAGTCTCAGGGTGTGTCCTCAATAAGAGATACTGATTCTTAGTACTGTGACTGCTGTAAACATGGGAGCCTGTGAGACCTTCATTTAAAGTGAGGGGAATGGAAGGCCATGGTTGGTGCAGAGAAAACGGTCTTGGCAGACATCAAAGGAGGAAGTTGTTATTTCAAGCAAGACACAAAAAGGTAGCAACAGTCAGAATCCAGTTGACATTCTGCAACTGCTTTGATCACCCATCCCGGCCCCATCATGAGAGGTACCCCAGAAGTTCTTGGATAGTCTTTCTGTGGGATTCCTTTCCACTAGAAACTTGGTTTGCTCCCTTTCCATCCACAATTTCCATGCCAGGATGTTGGTTACCAATATGCACTCATTCAGATTTAAGCTACTTTCTGCTGAGATGAATTGAGGGGGCTTTCAGATTAAAAGGTAAAAATTTCAAGATGGAAGAGTAAAACATTCTAAAGAAAACAGAAAGAGGAGCTACTCTGAGGCAGAATTGGTCAGAACGCAGGGAAGTAATAAGGTAATAAAACCGAGTATCCCTATTTGTCAGCTAAAGCAAAAAATGGAAACACGTCGGATGGCAGAGTTTTTATTTTTTGACAGCAGGAAATACACATCTTCATCTGCAGAGACAAAATGTTTCCTGGAAATAACCCCAAGCATGAATTTATCATGAGTCCTTGCATAAAGGACACTGAGTGACAGAGTGGGCAATATATTCAATTCTGTTTTCATAAAGACAGAAATGCCATTAAGTTGGTCAGTTTCTCACATCAGGGTTCTCTGAAGACAGAGCATAACATTAAATCATAACTCAGAGAAGGCAGTTTTTTAAGGGACTCAGATAATGAAGTCTAGGAGAGATACCTTTGGGTCTACCCCACACAAATTACTGAGAACCCACAGAAGCATCCTCCCTCCCTCTTTTCTCTTTTCTTCCCTCCCTTCACTCCTGGTTCCATTCTTTACCCACCCACCCATCCCTCCTCCTTCCCTCTCCCCATCCTCTCATTCATCTCTCCATCCCTCCCTCCTTTCATCCATTCATCTTTTCACTCCATCTACCCTTTCTTTTTCTCCGTCCACCTACCAGGCTTCCTTTCATTTATTGTTCCTTATTCCATCTTCCACTCATCTATCCCTTCTTCTCGCCATGAATCCCTCCCTCCATCTATCCAACATCCATCCTTCCATAACCCCTTCCATCTGGTCATCCCTCCTCCTTTCCCTCCATCCAGGTTCCTTTCACTTATCTTTCCATCATTCCATCCTTCCATCCATCCATCTTCCTATCCCTCTCTCCTTCCCTCCCTTTCCCATCCATCTTTCATCCACCCTTTCAAATATTCAGCAAAGATCTACTGAATTCCCACCATGTACCAGGCACTCTGAATGGCACTAGGTAAGATTGTAAGATCTGAAAGTGGATTGAATTTTGAAAGACAAATAGGAAAATGCCAGACAAACAAGGAGAAGGATATCATTCCAAGGGAGAGTGGCTTACACAAAGGTCTCGAGGGAAGGGAGCGAGAGCATGGCTGACTTAGGGGTGGCTAAAGTGTGGGGGCTGGGACATGGGCAAACAGGGCTAGAGGAGCAGGAAATGGAGGTTCTCGTAGGGAAGCTTTTGTAGCTGAGAGCTTGGATTTCACTCTAGGTCATTAGGAAGCATCTGGAGAAGACAGAGCAGCTGTAAAATCAGGCCAGTGATTTAAAAGGTTCAAAGGAGAAGACACATTGAGCAGGGCAGGAGCAGAGTTGGGCACCTGCTATGTGGTTGTTATAAGTAAATGGAAAGAGGGACCCTGGCTAGGATCTGGGAGAATTTAGAGTACTTGGGGACTGCCTGGATTTGGAACTGAGTAAGAGCAGAGTCCTGGATGACCCCTATTTTTCTATCTCAGGAACCAGGTGGACATGGCAAGTGTTTCTGAGATTGGGGCTGAACAGAGTCAGATGGTGAATAGCTAGAAGCGGGTGAGTCCAGCTCTGAGGAGGCTGGGGCAGCACATCCCTGGGACATCCAAGGGGAGAGAAGGCCAGGTACAGTGGGCCCCTGGGGACGCAGGAGATATTCAGGGGGTTTCTGCAATAAGGAAAGCTACAGAAGTCCACTGTGAGGGTGGGGATGGATAAGAGAGGAGACTTTTTTTTTTTAAGATTTTATTTGTTTATGCATACAGAACTGGGGTACAGCCAGAGGTGCAGGGGTGGTGAGAGGATTCACCAGAGACAGAGTGGGGAGCAGAACAGGCAGACTGACGAAGTACACTGCTGAGGAGAGCAGCAGGCGAGACAGGAGAGGTCTGCTGCACCATGTGGGTCAGCTCTGGGGCTTGGGATCGAACTCTCACGGATGCAGCTGAGGCTAGCTTGCAGTGCTGTGTTTTAACTAATTGTGCCACCAGGGAGGGCCAAGAGAAAGGAGACTTTTAATAAAAGATTTATTTTTATTTATTTATTCATACAAGGACGGAGGTGTAGGCCAGAGAAGCAAGCGTTCACCAGAGGTAGAGTAGGGAGCAGAGCAGGCAGATATACCGAAATACACTGCTGAGGGGAGCAGCCTGCGAGATAGGGGAGGTCTGCTGTGCCATATGGGTCAGCTCCTAGGCAGGGATCAAACTCAGGCTGTAGTGGCTGCAGATAGCTTCATAGTGCTGAAATGTAACCCTTTGCATCACCAGGGAGGCCCAAGAAAGCAGACTATTTTAGAGACTGGAGAATGCAGGCCAGAGGTGGGGTCTCCCTTCCTCCCTGCTTTCCCCAGCATCGGGGTGCTGCAGTATGTGCACACCCGGTCAACCTTGCATCTGTTTTCTTCTGCAAAAGTGCTGCTTCTCACCCGTGCCTCTCCCCAGGCTGAGCTAGGAGCCCTTCTCTTTTCCATCACATCTTGTGTTTCTCCCAGAGTAATTAATCAAGTGGTGCTGGTTAACGCTCTTCTCGATAAGCGAGCCAGCCACGGAGCGCAGGGGCCATGAGCAAGATCTTACTCTTCTTTATATCCTAGCTCAGTCTGGTGTGCAGATTAATGTTTGGGGCACAAATGAAGTGACTATGAGTGAGGTGCTGGTGGAAGGCTGTCCAGGGCGCTACAGGAGAAACCCGTGTGTGTGCCTTGATCCATCCAATTCAGTGCTTTCATGCGTTCGACGTCATTCTTCACTGAATGGTCTGATGCAGGTGTCCAGCGTGGTGGTGATGTTTCCCCACACAGTGCTTAGGGACGCTGGCCACTTCTATCCTGGGTTCTGCCATCCTCAAACACTGAAATGGTTTGTGTCTAGCGGTAGATGGAGGCGTTAGGGTGGGAAGGCTTTATAGGTGTACCTAGAAGTGAAACACATCATTTTTGCTTATGTTCCTTTAGCTTGAACCTGGTCTCATAACTTCATGGAACTGCAAAGGGGACTGGAAAAGGTAGTCTTGGCTGGCTAGCTACTTCTCAGTGACAACTCAGCTCACTGGCATTTTTAGCCCAATAATTCTTTGGGGGTAGAGGGCAAGTCCCCTGGACACTGAAGGATGGCATTTATCCCCTACACACCAGTAACACCCACTGGATGACAACCAAAAATGTCTACAGTCATTGCCAAATGTTCCCTAGGGGTAAAGTCGCCCCATTTGGTTTGAGAACCACGCTCTATACTGTGTGGATGGGTAGCGCATGTGTGTGATGTCTGGCTGGCATTTCTTGCTGCCAGGGGCATCTAACCCAGCACCAGGCATGGGGCGTTTAGGAAAGGTGACCTGGGAGGGAATACTGGAGAGTGAGGATTAGGAATCATGTACCCCACCCAGTGAGAGAGGGAATGGAAGGCCTCAGAGGACACTGCATGTGGAAAGGCAGGGCTGACTGGAGGGACATCGAGTGGAGGGAAGGGTCTGCGGTGGTCTCTCCCGTCGACTGCAGCCTCCGACTAGTGGGGGAAACACGACCTCTTGTGCCACTGATGTGAGCTCTGTCCCGTTCCTTGTTCCCCTGGTGGAGGATTTTGTGCAAGAGTGATCAGAATTCGGTGGCCCCAGCACTTGGCAACTGTAGGAGTGTCCGGCAGGGGCCCTTCTCCCTTCTCTCTCCTGCACGGGGGCCAAGGCCTCACTCCAGTTTGCTTTTTCTTCATGGACCTCTTCTGTCACCTTTTCTGGGAAGTGGACTGCTGCCATCTTTACAGTGACAGCCTTGCCCCTGGGAAATACTGGCTTCTGTCCGATCTCATTCACAATTTTAAAATCCCCACCTCCACTCAGAGCCTCGCTTTTTCTGTGGGGCCTTGCCTTTGCCTCCAGCCCTTCTCTGAGCTCTGCTGGTCCCTCAGCCAGCACTGTGCCCCTGCAGGGCCTTGCTCTCACCTGCTCTCTCTCCTGTTCTCTCTCTGCTTCAGAAGTCTTTCATTTTCTTGGGTCAGAATGAAAATTTCAGGGCATCAACTCTACAGCCCCAACTTGAATCAGGGGAGTTTCTGGGAGTATCAGGCCAAGTTTTTCTTCTTAAAGGAACTCAGATCTTATCTGGACATTAAGCTTATCTTGAAGTCACTACACAGCTGTGGGGTTGTTTTGCAAAGCAATACTGTAGAAAGTCCTTGACCTAGCTGCCTGTTGCTCCAGGGAGCAGGGAAGGGGCAGCAGAAAGCCAACCCTGGGGCTGGGTTGTGAGCTCCCCTCCTGGGTGGTAGACCAGGGCTGTTGTCTCTGGGACCCCGCCTCTCCCTGGTCCTGCAAATGCTTCCAGGGTCCCCATCTCTACTTTTGCTCACATTACTCCCAGCTCAGATTGTGGCACCTTCTTAAATCACCACTCTCCCCCCCTTTCCTACCTACTTCCCTTCAGGGTAGTCAGAGTATATGCCTGGTCATGCTATTGGGCATCTATTTCCTATAAAAGAAAACTCACCTGCTCCAAACTATCTCCTGATAAAGCAGACACGCTATCCACAACCAGATGATCTCCGGACAGACGCAGCGAATGGCACTCATACATTTGGTCTCCCTCCTCCTTCCGCCTGAATCCTCTCCTCCTGTTAGAGGCTGGATGGTGCTCCCCACCTCTCACACTGATGTCCTAACCTTCAGTACCAAAGAATGTGACAATTTGGAGATATTTTTAGCCCAATAAAATTAAGAGGGAATCAAGTTATATATTGGGATATTTGGGTGGGCCTCAACTTGATAGGACTGGGGTTCTTGTAAGAGGAAGGTATCGGGCAGAGGCCTCTTCTGTCATGGGGAGACACAATGTGAAGACTAAAGGAACAGCCCAGTAAAGAGGACACAGAGGGAGCCAGCCCTGCTGATGACGCTTGGATCTTGGACTTCTGGCCTCCAGAACTAGAAGAAAATAAATTTCAGTGTTCAATCACAGGTATGTGGTACTTTGTTATGGCAGCCCCAACAATGGACACAGCACCCATCTCCTATCTCCTAAGGTCAAACCCAAACTCCTGCCCCTCCCCCTCCCTCATCTCCTGGGTGCCCTCTCTCGCTTACCTCCATCCAGCCCCATCCCCCTCCTCACTGCCCCTTTCCTGGGTCAGCACCTTGCCCAGGCCATCTGAGCCCACCACCCTTTGCATGACTCTTCTTAATTGTCCACCCCACTTCCAGGTTACCACCTCAGAGGCATTCCCAGACAACGCATGCGAGGCCCTCTCCTGCATTCTCTTTCAAACCACAGTGAACTTTTCCTTCACAACATCCTTAACTAATAACTCTATTTTTCACCTGCCTTCATCCAGCCAAGTCCTGTTCGCTTGGGTGTATATTTGTTATTTAGCATAGTCTCTGGCATCTAATGATCCGCATAAATATTTGTTGACTAAATCAATCTCCACCTTGTCAAAGTCTCTATCCAGACTTCAAGGTACAGCCCAGATCCCTCCTTGAATTTGCTAATGCCCAAGTCCAAGAAATACTGATTTTCTTGATCCGTCTCTGACACACACCCCTTCTATCACGGGAACACTCTTGCATGGCTGAAGGGTGATGCCCCACCTCCTCCCAGGCCTGAGCATTCACTGTGAACCTCTGCATTGTCCACAGCACCTACTGGCTCTGTGCCCATGGGCCCAGGAGGCCTCAGTAAAAGTAGGTGGACCCAAATAGCCGAGAGAGGGACAGATGGGTAACTGGGTTCCTAGAAGGATGAGAAGGGTGTCCCCGCACCAGGGAGAAGGCTGACAGACATTCTTTTTGCCAGTGAGGGCTTGGCACAAAGTTCTGGGACTGAGAAGAGGGTGGGGGAGGTCCAGTGCAGGGAGCCCCAGAATTATAGAGCAGCCTGTACTCTCTTCTGCCCAGCTCTGGGATATCTAGAGGGCGGGGCTTCCCTTCCAGCTCCTTTCTCTGGAGGAGAACCCCATAGGAGGGAGGTGGGGAAGGCTCAATTTGAGAGAGAAGCCCACCCCCACGAAGACCCAGTCAACAGCCGGCCCACTGCCCACCCCCCACCAGGCCACCACCCATTCACCACACACAGTCCCTCCCTCCTCTCCAGGGTTGGTGGGAAGCCCCTGCCTGTCTTGGCTGGCTGAACCCTCTCTTTCAGGGGCTGGGTCTGGACAATGGGAAGCAAAAAGCACCCTCCCCACTGCCCCAGGGACATAAAGCAGGCCTTTCACTGTAGAGTTCTGGCGGCCTGGGTTGGTTCTTGGCACCCAGGACGCTTCGGGAGGGGCTAGAAAGCAAGTGTGTTGGGGGTGGGGAAGGGACCGGTGATTCTAAGGAGCTCGCCGGCCCAGGGCCACCAGGCTGGCTCCCAGCTGTGGGATGAGCTCATGCAGGGAAGCAGAGCAACTTGCGTTGGAGGAGCTCGTGGTTCTGGGGAGCAAGTTCTTCGTGGGAGCAGGGACAAGAGTCCACTTTTTGGGCCTTGCCTGCCACCCTTCCCACCCAGGATGAGAAATTCCATAGCCCTTTCCTCCTCCTCCGCCAGAAATCCCCGGGGCCCACCAACCGCGAGGCCACGGCCCGTGGGCTCCAAGATCCCAGAGCTTCTGCTCCGCTCACCCCCTAAGCTGGAGCGAGCCTCCCTCCCGAGCCTCAGGCAAAGGGGGTGGGGTGCTCACCCGCTGAGCTTTTCCGCGGGGTAAGCCAGCTGGGGCCTCCTCCCACATTCTTGCCCCTCCCAGTCTCCCTTCTTGCTCCCCCACCCCAGCAGCCGGCAGCATCGCTTCCTTTTCGCCGAGAGTTTGGCGTAGACAGCGAAGGAGCCATCGTGACTGACGGAGGAGCCTAGGGGAGACGAGATGGAGAAGGCGACCGGGTGGGGGTGGGGGATGGGGTGGGAACCGACGCTGAGCCCTTGGGGCCTGGCGGCAGCGGCGGCCGGGAAGAGATGGGGAGCGGCTCATGCCGTTGGGAGAAACTCGCCAGGTTTGGACCCTGGCTGGAAGGGGAGGGGGAGGAGGGTCCCGTTATTTAATTTTGACGGCAAATTGTAAATTGTACAAGTAACTCTTGCACGGTCCTTTCACCAATCCACCAATCCCACTACATTCAGCGCCCCTCCCCCCCCCCCCCCCCGCCCCAGCGGACACTTGCACTTCTCCCTCCATCCACAGATTTGTCTTAGTGTACCGGCAGGACCGTACTGAGTCAAAGGAACAGGTCCCCAACCCCCACCAATTCTTAACCCTAGGTCTAAGCACACACACCCTTTTCCTGGGATGGAGTAACAGGCTTTGCGAAAGGGAACCCTAAGCATTGCCGCGGCCCCAGATTGCAAGTTCAAAGCCACCACCCAAGATCAGCTCCTCAGGGCCGTGACTCTGGAAACCGCGTTCTTTAGCTACCTTTTTCCCAGACAGTAATCCAGTTTCCAAACGTGGAGGAGTCGTGTGTGTGTGTGCGCGCGCGCGCCTGTGTGTGAGTGCGTGTCTGTATCACCGTGTGTGCGCGCGTGTTTGTATGGGGGGATGAATTAATGGGTGAGCTTATACATGGAAGAGAGAGGACAGAACTTAAAAGAAACTGGTCAATTGTAAAACAAACAGGAATAAACAACCCTTTAGATGTAATCTGTGGTTTATCTGGAGGTGGAGGTGGCGCTGAAGAGGAACCCCCCCCTAATATTTTTTTTTCCTTTGCGGCGCCTCCACCCCAGCTTTTGGAGCGGCGGAGAAGCGGCTCCGGAGTGATTAATCCGGGGATAATTCACCCCCCCCACCGCCCCCCGGCGCGAACCCCGCGAAGCAGGATTGGAGCGAGTCATTTCCGAGAGCGCAGCGCGCCTCTCCCCGGCCGGGCGGACATTTGGTTCATTCCAGCCGCAGAAGCTCAGGGCTCCCGCGTACCGGGATTTTTTCCGAGCAGAAAAAAGCTCCAGAGCTCTCCTGACCTCCTTTCTCCTCGGCGGCGAGCGGAGCCTCTCCCTCGGCGCTGCCGGCCGCGCCATGCCGCGCTCGCGGGGACCGAAGCAGGGGCGTTGCGGCTGCCCCGCGGGGAGGACTCGCGTCG